AGGGAACGGAAGGTGTCTCCTCCATTTTTTGTTTGGTTGAATGGAATGGATAGTAGAAAGGATGAATGGGGTGATACTTTTTTTTGTTTGGTTGGAAGGAAGGGAAAGAGATTTTTTATATTTTTTTACCAATATATCCTCACTGTATAAAATAATAAAAAGTAGATATCCATTTGAATTTTTTTGAAAAGGTTAAAATTGGAAATTGCATATTGTCGGTAGTTATTCATTTTCTCTCTCCTCCCTTCCCCCCAAAATTGGGCGGATAGAAAAACATGAAGAAATGAGGGATGAAGCACTCCTCCTTACTTCCTCCCTCTCTTCCCTTCCCTCCAACCAAACACGAAAATCCTCATCCATCCCTCCCCTCATCCATCCCTCCTTAATCCATCCCTCTAACCAAACATAGCATTAAGGTTCGAAGCTTTGTGTTCCTCGGTTATGGGACTGAGAGGAACTGTATTATGCCGGACTTTTGAGGTCCGAAGCGATGCGTTCCTCGGCTATGAGCCTGAGAGGAACTGTATTGTGCCAGACTCTTGAGGTCCGAAGCTTTGCGTTCCTTGGCTATGGGCCTGAAAGGGACTGTATTGTGCCGGACTCTTGAGGTCCGAAGCTTTGCGTTCCTCGGCTATAGGCCTGAGAGGAACTGTATTGTGCCAGACTCTTGGGGTCTGAAGCGATGCGTTCCTCGGCTATGGGCCTGAAAGGAACTATATTATACCGGACTCTTGGGGTCCGAAGCAATGCGTTCCTAGGCTATGGGCCTGAGAGGAACTGTATTGTGTCGGACTCTTGAGGTTCGAAGCTTTGTGTTCTTCGGCTATAAGCCTGATCTGGAAACCTTATCAAGTATGCAAGGCTGTAACTGAGAAGTCCCTAATTCATTTGTTTAGGAGACTTTTCTTCACAGAGACTCTCTTCGTGGCAACCAAATGTGGTGTGCTAACTCTATATTTACTATATACCGCTTGTATTCCTATCCGATGTGGGACAAGGAATATATTTTACTATGGGCTAAAAACTTGGTTTGTTTGGAAAGAAAGAACAAAAATTATTGCAAAGAATGCCTGTTGGTACTAGGGCTTTGAACACAACTTGGGTTAGGCCGTTACTATTACCAACGGGCCTTCTTTGCAATGCACTCAAATACTTTAATATTTCCCTATTTAAAGGTACGTATAGAAGTAGTTTGTTTCCGATGTGGGACCACAGTAGATAAGTGCTCTGAGCTACACAAATTTGCGGTTTGTGTCCAAAAACGAAAAAAAACTGTAAAGCACCTTTGTGTTCATGATTTAAGTAGAGCCTGAATGTTCAATGGGCATTCGTTGTAATGCATATGCACTCTAAAGTATGTTTTCATGAAAAAGGACTTGTAAGTACCACCAAAAAGCCAAAAAATTATATAGCTTTGTTTTGTTTGTTTTGTGGTAATATCTTTTTTTTTTGTCGTAATATCAACAGTAGGATACATGCTTTTGTCGCAATATCAACAGTAGGGTACATATATTGCCCCCTATGACGACAAAAGAAAATAACAACAAGCAATCCCCATATTACTTAAAGCAAAAGGAGTAAAGATTTGTATAACTTAAGAAACTTTTATTATATGGGCCTAGAAACAGCCATACTTGGATAGAAAACAGACGTATGCTGTCTGTAAATGAAAAGTAAATAAACCATATTATCGAATGATAGTACCTTTTCAAGTGTATTGCATTCCATGTACGTGCAATTGGACGCCCATCAGCTTCCGCCAATCGGTAAGATCCTTTCCCTACTACTTCTGTGACTCTGGAAGGTCTAATCCAATTGGGTTGTAACTTTTTTACATGGGCTGTTTCCTGCTTCAGCACCTAATCTCCTTCCACAAAACGTTTGAACCTGACTTGCTTGTTGTAACTGTTACGCAACTGTTGCTGGTACGAAGCGAGCCTAATTGTTGCGGTATCCCTATTTTCTTCCAAGAGATCGAGGCTGTGTTCAAGCTGTTGATCATTATTACCTTCGAGCACCAAGTAGGTCCGAAGAGTTGGAATTGCTGATTCCGTGGGGATGACAGCCTCAGACCCTTAGGCTATGGCAAAAGGGCTTTCTCCTGTTGGCCTTCGTGGGGTGGTTCGATATGCCCAAAGCACTTGAGGTAGATTCTCGTACCATTTTGACTTGAGCTTTTCCAACTTTTTCTTCAAGCAGCTAAAAATGGTTCGGTTAGTTATTTCAGCCTGCCCATTACTCTGAGGATGGCTAATTGCAGCCAGTTTCTGCCTAATCCCATGTTTGACGAAGAACTTTCTTGTGCTTCGGTTATCCAAGTTTGGGCCATTGTCCATTATGATAACATTCGGCACCTCAAATCAGCAGATTATGTTGTTCTATAGAAAACTTTTCATTTGTTCATGGGTCATGCTTGAGTAAGCTTCAGCTTCAACCCATTTAGTGAAGTAATCTGTGGCTAGCAACATGTATTCCTTCTTCTCCACAGTTTTGGGTAAAGGACTGACCATATCAATCCCCCATTAAGTGAATGGCCATGGATTCGCCATTGCATGCAAATCTTCGGCGGGTTGATGTTTCATTGGACCATGTCGCTGGCACTTATCACACCTTCTAGCATACTCTTTAGCATTCCGAGCCAAGTAAGGCCAGAAATAACCTTGAGTCAGGAACTTATGTGCCAAGGATCTACCTCCAGAGTGGTTGCCACAATCCCCTTTATGAATCTGTTTCAGAATCGTAAGGGCCTTAGTGGGACTTAGACATTTCAGGTAAGGACCTGAGAATGACTTTCGATATAATTGATTATTGATGATAACATATTTGGCAGCGGTTAGCCTGAGTTTCTGTGCCTCTACCTTTTGGTTCGAAAGAGTCCCCTCCTTAATGTAAGCTTCCAATAGATCCATCCAGCATGATTCACGTGGAACATCTGGGATCACTATTATCTCTTGTAGAGGGCTTATACTTGGTTCGTCCAGGATGTTAATTGGTACGATCTGGACCAAATCTTCATCTGAAGAAGACGCTACTGCAGCCAACTGATCTGCTTCGGAGTTTTCCTCGCGAGGTATCTGATGGAATTCGATTTGATCGAACCCTCGTGAGGCATTCTCCACAGCCTCTTTGTAGGCTTTCATTCTATCTTCCTTAGGCTGATATTGGCCTGTTACCTGATTCACAACAAGTTGAGAATCACTAAAGACTTTTAGACACCTTACCTAAAGCTGGCTTGCTAACCAGTCCTGCGAGCAAGGCCTTATATTCTGCCTTATTGTTAGTGGCAGAAAAAGTCAGACGGATTGATTGTTGCAGCTTGGTGCCTTCGGGGGTTGTGATAACGATTCCGGCCCCGGCACTAATTAGGTTCGAGGAACCATCCACTCGAAACTCCCATTGTGGCTCGGAAGGGCCTGGCTCTATGGGGTTATCCTCATACTCCAAGAGGAAATCAGCTAGTGCTTGTCCTTTGTGTGACACCTTCGGTTCATAGGATATATCAAAGGAATTGAGTTCGATTGCCTATTTAGTTATTTTTCCAGATAAATCTGGCTTGGAAAGAATGACTCGCATGGGGTAGTTGGTAAGAACTTTGATGCTGTGCGACTCAAAGTAGTGTCGAAGTTTTCTCTTTGCATACACCAATGCCAGTATGATCTTTCCTGCTTTGCTGTATCATGTTTCTGCATCTGTCATTGTCTTACTGGTGTAGAAGATTGGATACTGATTCTTACCTTCTTCTCTAATCAATACTGCATTTGTGGCTATGCTGGAGATGGCTAAGTACATGATAAGAGTTTCACCAGGCTTCGGAGCTGACAGAATCGGGGGTTCAGCCATGTAGCACTTCAGTTGATTGAGAGCAGCCTGTTGTTGAGGTCCCCATATGTCTTTGTTTTTGGATCTTATTGCATCAAAGAATGGTTTACACTTATCTGATAATCGAGAGATAAATCGACTAAGAGCTGCGATTCAGCCAGTCAAAACCTGTACTTCCCTACGGATTTTTGGCTCTTGATTTTGTACAAGGGCCTGACCTTGAGCCGGACTTACCTCAATTCCCCTTTTGTTTACAATATGGCCGAGGAATTGTCCTGAAGAAACCGCAAAGGAGCACTTCGAAGGGTTTAACTTCATACCATACCTTTTCAAAGTGTCAAAGACCTCTTGGAGGTGCTTAGGATGTTCCTCTTTCTTCACACTTTTGACCACCATATCGTCGATATAAGCCTCGACCGTCTTTCCCAACATCTCGTCGAAGATCTTGTTAACGAGGCGTTGATATGTTGACCCACCATTCTTGAGTCCAAAGGGTATAACTCTATAACAGTAAGTACCTTTCTCTGTTATGAAAGCAGTTTTCTCTTCATCCTCTAGATTTATAAGGATTTGGTTATAGCCGGAGTATGCATCAAGAAACGTGAGCCTCTCAAAACCAGTAGTAGCATCAACCATCTGATCTACTTTGGGTAATGGATAGCTGTTTTTAGGGCAGGCTTTGCTGAGATTGGTAAAATCTATGCACACCCTCATTTTTCATTCTTCTTCTGAACTACCACCACGTTAGAGAGCCATTGTGGGCAGTGCATCTCTCGGATGAAGCCCGCCTGAAGTAATTTGCTTACCTCTTCAGCTATAATTCGGTTGCGCTCAGGAGCGAACCTTCTGTGCCTTTGCTTAACTAGTTTAAATGCCGGATCCACCTTCAGGCTATGGCATGAGACTGAAGGATTGATTCCTACCATGTCTGAATGCTCCCAAGCAAATGCATTTTCATTCCGTCGAATGACATCAATTAATGCCTTTTTTTCTTCGGCTGTGGGGCAAGAACCTATGTAGGTGACTTTCTGAGGATCGCCGAGGATTACTTCGACAGTCTCCAGAGACTCCTCGGTAGGCTTTTCAGCTTCGGCCTCATCCTTTGCTTCTTTCAGATACATGGGCAGAGGGTTCTGTAATTGCTATTTGGACATGCTCCTAGAAGGTGAGATTAGTTGAGACTATTTTGTTACCTTCTTTACTTCATTTTGTGTCAACATGTAGTATTCTGTGGCAGCGACCTGATCTCCCCTAAGATCAACGACCTCTTTACCGTCCGGAGACAAGCATCGCATCACTTGATGAAGGGTAGATGGAACCTCGTTTATTCGGTGGATCCAACCTCTTCCCATAATAAGATTGTATGAAGGGTGGATCTCCGTTAAAACAAAATTCTCCTTCAGTGTCCTCTTTGCCGCGGTTACGGATAGGTCAATTACCCCAAGGGGGTCCACTTTTGTGCCATCAAATCCCATCAAGGGGCTGGAGGTGGGCCGAATTGATGATGACGGAATCTCCAGCTGCTCAAAGACCGCCTTTGTGATGATGTTGACACTACTACCCGGGTCTATCAAAACCCTCTTAATCATGTAATTCGCCACTAAGAGACTGATGACCAACAGATCCTCGTGGGGGAGTTGAACTCTGGATAGATCTCCATCGCCGAACCCAATGTTGACGCTTCCCGGAGCGATAGCGTTCACTGAGGATAACCTCCTTAACTTATGGGCTGTTTTCAATTGGGATCTATGTACATCCTCTGACTCTTGATCATTCTCCGATCTTCGATGTATTGTATGGATGACATTCACTTGATTACCTTCGACTTTCAGAGGATTAACCTCCTGGGCCTTCACGTACTCGTTTGTTGTGAGGTAGTATGCCAATTCACTTCTCAGTATCATGCTTTCCACTTGTCGCCTAAGAGATTTGCAGTTGTTTGCCCGTAATCTTTATGGTAGGCGCAGTGCTTATTCTTGCCTCTTTGTTCCAAAGGTTGCCTTATTGGCTGAGGGGCTGCAAACTTCATCTTATTCTCCTGGAATAGCCGAGCCAAGGTTGTGCGAAGATGTGTGAACCTTTCTTTTGTCTTTTGCCTTTTCTCGGGTATTTGAATGGCTGGTGCTGAAGCGTGCTGGCTTTTTTGGCTTTTTGAGTTTGAAACCCTTTCTTGAGGCTTTTTTTCCACTGTGACGAGGGTGGCATGTTGCGCTTGGTGGGCCACGTTCTCCTCAAGCCGAATGTAAATCTGCGCCCTAGCATTGAGAGTCTGCATATCCGGAGGGGAATATTTAACTAGGGACGTATGAAACTTGGTTCCCTAAATCATTGCAAGTTTGAACGTTTCTATTGCGGTAGCAGGACGGCAATCTGCTATTTCCAAAGCTTCCATGTTAAATTTGGACAAAAAATCCTGTAATGTTTCGCATTTCTTTTACTTTATAGTGAAAAGGCTAGCGATACTCTTCTTTTACTTCTTATTACCGCAATACTGCGCCAGGAACATAGTGCACAGAGTTTCATAGTTTGGAATAGATTTGTGTGGCCTATTCCTGAACCACTTCACGCAGCCCCTATTAGACTGGTAGGGAAAACTTTGCACATCCATGGGTCATTGTGATCGTCTAGAGCCATCTTTTGTGCGTAGTGATCCAGGTGCCGAGAAGGATCTCCCGTACCATCAAATTGGGTAAAGGAAGGCATAGTGAATTTCTTAGGTTTGTCAACAAGGTACACATCATCAGTGAATGGGGTCTTCATGAGAGAATTCTTATGTTCCCTGGCCATCTTGGCTGGCGTTTGAACTCTCAGGAGTCTTTTCTCGTCAAAAGCCTCCTTTGCTCCTGCACCAACACCATTAGACCATATCGTAAGCTTACGACTGGACTCAGCCTGTTCGTCCTGTGTGCGACGAGGAAGATTGTCCGAAGTTACCACCTCGGACCTTGTTTTCTGCTCTTGCTGAACTTTGCTGCGCCGAACCTCATTAAGTCGAACCCTATTGACCTGAGGCTCGTTTTGGTTGGGAGGAGGCGCAGCCACATCAGCTGGTGGTGGCTGAGGTGTCAACTGAGCCATAGCCGTTTGAATGGTGTCATTTTGCTGTTGAAGTAATGCAATCTAGGCTACGCTGGCTTCATTCGCCTAACAAAGTGCTTTGAATTAGTGCAAGAACTCTTCTCGCACCTTTTGCATTAATTCCATCTGCTGATTAGCCGCCGTTAATTCTTCGTTCGACATTCCAGATTGTGGAAACAAAAACAATTTGAAACAAAAGTGGGAGTATCTTTCAATACGTTTCCCACAGACGGCGCCAAAGTGTAGGTGTAAAATTTCTCTTTATTAAAATAAATAAAAAGAATAAATATAACTTACTCAGAACAAGCAAATATAATACTCAGAAATAAGTGTATAATGCTCGATGCTTTTATTGGAGGTCTAGGCCTCTATTTATAAGAAATAAGGTGGTAGAATTATGATAGGACTCGCATAGCTTGTCCTCCAAGTCATTCCATACATGACATTCTTTACAATTATAATCCTTTCCGTTTTACAATTCTTTCCATGCAGAACTTTCCTTGCACAGAACTTGCTTTCTTTGTTGATTCCTTTGTCTAGCGGGACTGGTCTACCTTTAATTAGGATTGGGCTGAATGTGGGCTGATCCAGATGATTCGGTAAATGGGCTTGGAGTTCACCCTTGGCGCCCCGGGCTGTTGACATCTAGGCTTAGTAAGTGGGCCGAATGGCCTGGGTCAGCAGTCTATATGGAAGCAAGACTTTGTCTGAGCTTGTTTCGGACTGGGTTCTCCCAATTTGGGCTTGACACCGATTGGGCATTTGTTGTATCTAAGATAACTTTGTAGTGTGATGACGTGGACGATTCTTACTGAAGGGGGGATTTTTTCCCTCTACAGGGATCATCAGGGAAGATGTACCGCACTGGGCCATGGAATGGAGTTCGATTGAGACCAAGCCCAGTTAGTATACCAAGTTATACAGCCAATGCCGATGAGGTGTATTTTATGTATAAGTCTACCAATGACTCCTATATTACAAGATTAATGCTGAATGAAATGGGTATGCCACAGCGGCTCATTCTAAGTGAAGGGAGCTCTGAATGGGTTGCTATGTACACAACATCGAATGATCCGTGTGATGAATATGGACATTGTGGTGGCAATGGTATTTGTAGAGTTAACAATAGGCCAGTATGTGACTGTTTGATGTGGTTCGGCAATTTAGTTGATATTCGATACTTTGATGACAAAGACAACAAGCAAGATATCTACATACGGATGCCAGCTTCGGAATTTAGTAAGCATACTTGTTGCTATACTATATAATTAACATTTTGCTATTACTATTTTAGATGTCAGCCCCTTAAATCCTTTTATCAATACTCAAAGCAGTTTGTTTGCTCAAATATTAGTACGTAGGCTTCAATATTCAATTATGATAATCGATCTTTATGATACCATGGAGGTCTTAAAATGAAATGTTTAGTATTCACGTCTAGGGTTTCCTTTATTTATGATTTTCTGAAGGCATGCCCATCAAATGAAGCTTTAGGACTAATAACAGAACTAACTTTGTCATAAATTTAGAGCATAATCAGAAGGAGAAGGCACTGGTGCTAATCGTAGTGGTATCAACAGCTTCCGGGATGGTTGTCCTCAGCTTGTTAACTTGGTTTATATTTAAGATGAGGAGAAAGAAAATAGGTATACCACCTCCTCTCTACCACCTCCCTTCTCTGGTATGATTATTGATACATTTTAAGGCAGTTATTGTCACTTGAATACTAGAAAATATAGGTACCTGAATGAACATTTTATAAGGTTTCATTCCTTCCAAGTGTACTAGATGGTTATTTGAATGATAACAGGTATCTAGTTCCATCTATACCATTTTTGATTGTGCAGGTGCAGAAACTCAGAATCAAGACATCGAGTTACCATCTTTTGATCTGCTCACAATTGCAGATGTCACTAATAACTTCCCTTCCACAAATATGATCGGAAAGGGTGGTTTTGGTCCTATTTATAAGGTTAAATAAGTAATCTTTGCTTTGATATGTAATAAAAAAAGTGAACCCCATGATTTTAACGTTTCTATTCAAAAATTTGTAGGGTAAGCTTACAACAGGAGAAGAACTAACAGTTAAGAGGCTTATGAATAATTCTGGACAAGGTCTACTAGAGTTCAAAAATGAAGTTATTTTGATATCCAAACTTCAACACTGGAATCTTGTTAGGCTGTTGGGCTGTTGCTTTGAAGGAGAAGAGAGGATACTAATATATGAGTACATGCCGAACAAAAGCTTGGACTACTTCATTTTTGGTCTAGTTCTCTTGACCAATTCTCTTATTAGACCAATTTCATATTGCAGTTTATGAATTTATGCAGCAGAGTCCTTTACTCTATTGTAAAAATGGAAATTGATTTTGAACTGTATGGATGGAAATGTTGTGCAGATCAGAATAGAAGACTTGACTTCCATGGCAAAAGCGATTTGAAATTGCTATGGGCATATCACGGGGAATTCTCTACCTTCACCAGGACTCAAGATCAAGAATCATTCATAGGGATCTTAAAGCCAGCAACATTTTACTAGATGATGAACTAAATCCCAAAATTTCGGACTTTGGGAACGTAAGAAGTTTTGGGAGAGATCAAATTGAAGCCAAAACAAATCGAGTAATTGGGACATAGTAAGTTTTGCAAACAAATGTCGGATACTCGTTCATCATTTTCTGATGCTTAAATTTGATAATTTTATGTAGTGGTTACATTTTGCCGGGGTATGCCATTGATGGGAAATTTTCAGTAAAATCTTATATCTTTAGTTTAGGTGTGCTAGGTGTGCTTTTAATGGTGATAATGAGTGGCAAGAAGAATAGGAATTTTCATCATCTCGATCACTATCATTCTTTTGGGACATGTATGGTGAAATATATTTTATTTTATTTCTCTCTCTAGCTTCTTATTTGAATTACTAAATTTGACGATTGTGATTGTTTTAGGCTTGGTTGCTATGGAATGAACACAAAGCCTTGGAAATTGTGGATCCATGTTTGGAAAATTCATACATTGAATCTCAAATACTAAGATGTATTCAAGTTGGTCTACTATTTGTTCAGAAATTGCCAGAAGATAGACCAACCATGTCATCAGTAGTTTCCATGTTGGGTAATGAAGGGGTGAAATTACCTCAACCCAAACAGCCTGGTTTCTTTGTGTAAAGAAATTCCATTAATGCAGAGGAGAGATGCCATACTGAAAGTGGATTGACAATAACAATAATGGAAGGTAGATAGGAGATGCGTTACATATTGTTGTATCGATAAAGTTGATGCATGTCAAGAAATTGTTAGGTCAAGAAAAAAAGAAAAAGCAAAAAACATTGTAATACATATCCATAGATGATTTCTATTTTTGGTGAGTAATACAAAGATGATTTCTATTGTTGAAGTCACATTCTAATGAAAATTTAAGTTCGACTTCTTTTCAGGCATTGTGATAGGACAGTGATAAGTAGGTGGGGCTGATATATTCTCATTTTTTAGTTATTTTTAGGATACGGTGCAAGAACCCTGTTATATAAAAATTGTGCAGAAAACACCCTTTCTATCTAAGTATGTGCATATAAAATCAATTTTTTCACAGAATGAAAGAGACATATATATATGGTAGAATTGTATCCCTACAAGATGACCCCATTTGAAATTTATACATGTGTTTTATATATTATGAGGATGAGTGTGCAAATTGCCTGGCCTTATATCCAATAGAAATTATCAAAAGATGAAAACCACAAAAGATCCTTCTTAAATGACCAAAATGCCCTGTGATGTTTGTATCTCTCTTTTTATCTGGGTGGCATTTTCTCTCTCTATATTATCATACATGCCCTCTCTCTCTCTCTCTCTCTCTCTCTCCCCTCTATGACCTCCTCTTAGTGAACGTAGCTAAAAGCTCTATCTCCATTTCTGGAGCCAACCCTACCATTGAAGATACCATTATATCTACCTTGGGCTTCAAAAAGGAACTTTCCCCATTAAGCATCTTGGAGTGCCCCTCATCTTCTCAAGGCTAAGGGCAGTCGACTGTACAACATTGGTGGAAGAATCACTACTAGAATTAGGCACTGAACTATCAAACACCTGTCTTATGCTGGGAGGCTCCAATTGGTTAAATCAGTACTTGTGTTAGTGAGCTTATATATCTACTGGTCTAGCATCTTTGTTCTCCCTAAAAGTGTAATCACTGAGCTTAATTGTATTTTTAGAAGATTTTTATGGACATGTATTGAGCTCAAAAAGTGTGGAGCAAAAATTGCATGGACTGCAATTTGCAAACCAAAGAAAGAGGGAAGGCTTGGTCTACCCAACATTCAATAAAAAAAGAGAAAACATTTGGGTCAAGTGGGTGAAAACATACCTTACCAAAACCCAGTGTTTCTGGAATTTGAAGACTGCTCAAAATAGCTCTTATTGTTGGAGGGAAATTCTCCTTATAAGGCGCTTTGCTAAGCATTTCATCAAATGGAGAATGGGCAATGGCTCTCCAATCTTCCTATGGCAAGATAGATGCTCCCCAATGGTCCAATATGTGATAGGTTCAATAAAAATGACCTGCTCTCCATGGGTTTAACCAAGCATTTCATACAAGACAAGTGTGGTTTCTACATTTGCACTGATAATTGGAGTAGCATAGTCCACTGGTGTTCCATGCACTAGAAAGCCAAATCTGTCTCAAACAGCATCTGCAAGCTTGCTTTGGCTTCACTGGTTTGCCACTTATGGTCGGAAAGGAATGCGGAGGTTGTTTAGTGGAGAAAATTGTTCCCAAAATACAGTGCTTCACTAAACCGTCCGATCCATCTCCCTGAAAATACACTCATGCTCCTTGACTGACTCTCCCCTTACCAGAAGACTCATTCAGGGCTAGGGCTTAACTCCGCCCACCTCCAACACCACCTGATCGTCTTGTCTGAGAGCTCCTCTCCGTTGTATGAGCTCTAAGCATTGTTCGCTGAATCTGAACAATTAGCCGTTAAAACGACTATTTGATTTAGGGTAAAATATTATAATTCTCTGTACCATTCAAAATAATCATATAATCCTCTATAATAACTGATAAATGATCATTTAATCACATTTATTGACGACAATGATAAAATTAACTTTACGTTAAAATAAATAAATAAAATTAACTTTACTGTTTTAATTTGTGAAATCGCACGGAGAGATCTTATTGTTCACGTTATAGCTTATAATTTTACCACAATATTAATTCATAACTCTTGGATTATGTCCGTGATCTAAGCTTTGGGGTAATATTTTGTTAGGCGGGAAGATTTCAAGAAGACGATCACTTGACACTCACTTACCCCAAATTTAAAGGACATATATAGGGGCATTTTAATGGAAATGGGTAATTTGATGAATTTTTAATAAATTGAGAGATTTTTATTAGATTTACTTAGTATAAAGGGATTATATGAAATAAATTTAATAGTACAAGGGAATTTTATGATTTTATCCTTTTGATTGTTGGCAGTTTTTGGGGTTGTTGTTTCTCTGTGCTTGTTTGTTTTTTTTTTTTTGGGGAAGGTCTCTGTGCTTGTTTGTTCGTCACAACCCGCCATTTCGTTTTTCCATTTTGTTTTTCTTGGTTGGGTCTATGCTCAAACAAGCCCACTTTTGTACATATCTCCTTTCATACTCTCTCTTACAAATATCATTCTCTCTCACCTCGTCTCTTCCCCGTCTTCGCTCGCTTTCAACCATCGCTCGTTCCTCGCATTACTTCTCGTCTCAGCCTTTGATGATCACAATTGGTCCACTACAGGTAAGACTTTACACACACATAAGCATATACTTATTGTGTGTATATATACAGCCCTAAATGTTACAGTTACAAACCCATATGCCCTTGGCTTGGTTTATATTTGTTTCTTTTTCATTGTCATAAATAGACAAGAATTGTGGTCTTTATTATAAATCAGCCAATTTTCTGTTCCAAGTCGAAGTTGCAATAAATGCAATTGTTATGCTGTGCAATACACCAACTTTGACATTTCTTAACGTGAGGCAATTCCTCCTCAGCTGCTGGTGTTTTCAGCCGCAATATATGACTGAAATATAGATTTGTTTCATAGTGATTGTTATCTCTTCAAACACTATCACCTCATGAATCTTCATCATGAAAAATTGGTACACTTCTGACTACAAGCATCTCTCTGAATCCTTCCTTTTTCATCCAACATTTTATAACAAACACAATTTATGTAATGATTCAATTATTTATTTATTTTTCGTGCTGCGTTTTGCGCGCCACACAGGCCCCGATGGCTGTTTTAGTCATTTTATTGAGCTGAGCATTTTTTTTTTTTTTTTTTTTTTTTTTTTTTTTAACCTTAAGACAACCGGAGGCGACATGATTGATTTTAGGATTTTCGGAAGTCCAGGAATTTCTCCTGATTTTGCCATTTTGAGTGAGGGGCATAATAGACTTTTTTCATGCATATACATATACATATATCTATGCATTGAGGTAAATATTTTAACGACTTGGATGACATTGCTTAGGAAGGGAAAGGACAAATGGATAACTTGCCAAAAAGCAACTAACCACATAATGATGACACTTGGCATCATTGGGACCACAAAGCAAAATGAAGACCAAGCCTAGTCTCCCTTCTTTTCCATATTTCGACCAACTCCCTTCTCTCCCTACATATATCTATCTACACACATATACTTCCATGCTAAAAGCTCAATTCTAGGAGGTTTAGAGTATGAATTTGGTGAGGCTATAGAAAGGCAAAGAATTACTTTCATGGCCACCATATTTCATCACCGTTTCTCTCTTGTGCTCAGTTAAGGTAGGTTTGCTCTAACACTTGTTGCTTCGTGTTATTGTAGGAAATAATATGTGATTCTCTTTCTCGAAAAACCTTCTTGATTCTAGACGTCTTTGCTGAGTTCCTTGTAATTGAACTGTTTTAAAAAAAAAAAAAATTAGTTAATGTATGTGTATTTGTTATGTATTTAATTTCCTCAAGTTTTCATAGCATGCTCTTTTTTTTTTTTTTTTTTTTTTCATGGCTGTTTTTTGTGCTGTATTTCCTACTAGGACCTTGTGTCTCATCCTATTAATTTTTAGGTGCCGTGATTAATTGAAGGAAATGGAGTTGCTGAAAGTGCTTATTTGTGACCATCCTGTTCATATAGATAATGTGTTTGATAAACTACTTGATTCCATTGTAATTTGAGAAAATGATGTAAACACGTGATTATGATAGTATATAAAGGAAACTATGGAAATTTAGAGACTTCTTGTTAATGTTTCCAGTAAGTTTGAGTGGTTGGTTTGATGATTAAGAAAGACAACATAAATTTTCTTCTTTTAATTTTGCTTGAAATAAATATTTTCTCCAAGGAGCTGTAGTGCTCCAATTGCTACGAAACTTTTATCACAGGTTTTTCTACATGTCCAAAACTTCTCAGATTAATTTCGGAATTTTTGGACCAACAGATTTTTTTTCTAAAAATTCGACAGCACCTACTGTCCAGATTTTATACTTGCTGGAAATCTGATTTTTTAATAATATATTTGACCAACTTCTTGACACCAGATCTTTATAAAAAATTCCAATTTTATACTTTCATAAGTCTAATTTCTAAAAACAAATTTATTGGAATTTTCTTTGCTCCGGATATTTTTTTTCAAATTGACGAAGTTTGTCAAAAGGTTTATTTTCAGCTCATTTTGGATAATCTATTTTACTTCTAAAATATGATCTAATTGAGAAACATTCAGCTTACATGGGTGGCTTAGCCTTGTTGCATTTTGAGTCTAGTTTCCGAAGAATTTTAGTTTGCCCTATTTCACTTAAAATTGAATTTTCCACGAATTTTTGATCAACTGCTACGCAGAATTCTTTCCAATAGGATGCTGCACTTGTGGACTGTTTGTTTTGTGTTCGGATAGTAATTCTGCACTTCTCACCATGAATGGAGGGTCTGTTGTATGAATTTTGGGGTTGATTGCTACATAATACATTGTTGTTGTTGTGGTTTGATCAGGTTTTATATGAGTTGTAGTCTGATTTTGGTACTTGAAACAAATATGAGTTTTTTTTTTTTTTATATTTGTGAAGAGATTCATTAAATTTACCTGGGGCTGTGGTTCTCCAAATGCTTTAAATTTTTTTTGCCACGGGTTCTCCTCTGTGTCTAGAGTCCATCTGGGAAATTTCATACTCTTTGGACGAATAATTATTTTTATAAAAAAAATCTGGCAGTGCTTACTGTCTGACTTTTATCGCTACTCAAAATCAGATTTTGGATAATTTATTTGATAAACATTCTGACATCTGAAAATTATCAAACCGTCAATATTTTTATCCCTTAGAGTCTTATTTCTCAAAATAAAATCCTTGGATTTTATCAAATCCACATATATATATTTTAAATGAATAAAGTGAGGATTTTAGTGAAATTTTCGGGTCGTGACAATTTTTTATCTCCCACTATTACCATTCTTTGTTTTTTTTCCCCTTCAATTTCCATTGTACCAAACTGGTCTTAAGAGCCAAAACACTAATCCCATCAACAAACTCTTTGAAAACCACCAACATTAACACAAAGCCAAAGAGAAAATAGTAAAAATTACTCAGCAAATTAACCCTGAATATATGAAAATTACGTTTATGCCCTTATTATTATATAAATAATTTTAGAATTAAATGCTCCGACACCACAGTCTTGCGTTTAATGCTTTCAGATTACTGTATGATATACAATTCAAGAAACTGAGATGATCAAATTGACACAAACATATAGTGTGATAGAAGGACGAAAATGAATCAAGAAATTGAGATGATCAAACAAAGTCAGGCCCCCCTCCCCCTAGGTTGCCAGAAAAAAGAAAGGAAAAAAAGTCAGGTCCACATGAGTTTGACTTTAGTGCCAGAAATGTGGAAATTTCAAGTGTCAATGGTCTAATTGGTGCTTTTAGAAATGTTCAGATGACAGCAAAAACATGGTCACAATTTCTTGAGAAAAATTGGCAATGGAGACCTTTCCTTTCATCCTCGTTTACTTACTGATCCCATTCTCAGTCTTAGAATTCTCCACAGCAGCTGATACTTTAGCTCCATATCAATCAATCACCAAGGGTCAGAGTTTAGTATCCTCTGGCCAAAGCTTCGAACTAGGCTTCTTTTCTCCCAGTGGTTCCAAGAACCTGTTCTTGGGAATATGGTACTACAAGATTTCTCCACAAACTGTGGTGTGGTAGCAAACAGGGAAAACCCAATTATAGATTCATATGGAAATCTAACTATCAACGGCGATGGCAATCTCGTGCTCTTCAGTGCCACAAAGGTGTCATCTGGTCCTCAAATTCTTCAAGAACCGTGCAAAATTCATCAGTTGCACAGCTATTGAATTCTGGAAACTTAATCCTCAAAGAGCTCAGTACTGATATCAATACAGAAAGTAGTTACATATGGCAAAGCTTTGATTTCCCATCAGACAAACTTTTACCTGGCATGAAGTTGGGATGGAACTTAAAGACTGGCTTAAATGGATATTTGACATCATGGAGAGATGCCACTGACCCATCTCCTGGAGACTTCACTTTTGGAGTTGACCTTACTGGGATTCCTCAGGTGGTTCTTCAAAAGGCATCATCGAAGAGGATTTTCCGCACTGGGCCATGGAATGGAGTTCGATTTAGCGGTGCTAGTGCGGCGTCAAACCTGGTTAGTAAACCGAGTTTTATAGTCGATGCAGACGAGGTGTATTATATGTACGAGTCTAACAATGACTCCTATATTACAACCGTAATGCTGAAACAATTGGGTATGCTACAGCGCCTCGTCCTGAATGAAGGGAGCTCCGAATGGGCTGTTATGTATAATATACCGAATGATCCCTGTGATGATTATGGATACTGTGGTGCCAATGGTATTTGCAGAGTTAACAATAGGCCAGTATGTGAGTGCTTGGATGGGTTCATTCCAAAATCGCAGGAAGAATGGAACCTCTTTAATTGGTCCCGTGGATGTGTGAGGAGGACATCACTAGAGTGCCAGAACGGAGATGGATTTGTGAAACTCAAAAATGTGAAATTGCCAGACCTGTTAGAGTTTTGGCTGAAGGAGAGTCTGAACCTTAAGGAATGCGAGGCAGAGTGCTTGAAGAATTGTACTCTTGTACAGCTTATGCTAATTCAGATATCAGGGGAGGAGGCAGTGGCTGTTTGATTTGGTTTGATTATTTAGTTGATATTCGTGATTTCGATATGAACGAGGGCGAGCAAGATATCTACATACGGATGCCAGCTTCGGAACTCAGTAAGCATACTAGTTGCTATACTATATAATATTCACATTCTGCTGTTACCCTCTTAGATGTCAGCCCCTTGAATCCTTTTATGAATACTCAAATCAGTTTGGTAACTTTGTTTGCTCAAATATTAGTACATAGGTTTCAATCTTTCTAGTAATTAGGTCAGTTTCAATTATGCTAATCGATTTTTATTATAATATGGAGGTCTTAAAATGAAATGTTAAGGATTCATGTCTAGAATTTCCTTTATATATGCTTTTCTGAAGGTATGCATGCCCAACAAATGAAGCTTTAAGAGTAATGATCAACTAACTTTTGTCATAAATTTAGACCATGATCAGAAGAAGAAGACACTGGTGCTGATCGAAGTGGTATCAACAGTTTCTGGGATGGTTGTCCCCAGCTTGTTAACTTGGTGTTTAATTACGAAGAGGAGAAAGGAAACAGGTATACCACCTCCTGTCTTTGGTATGATTATTGATACATTTTAAAGCAGTCATATGAATATTAGACAATTTATGCACTTGGATGGATATTTTGAACACTTTATAAAATCTCATTCCTTCTGAGAGTACTAAGGCCTAGTTTGGTGCGGTGGAATGGAATGCAAAAAAAATGGAATGGAATGGTTTTATTCCGCTCTTGTGTTTGGTGTTCAATTTTAAACTTGGAATCGTCATTCTCCACCATTCTTGGAGAATGGTCATTCCATCAATATTATTCTACCTTTTCACAAAAGGAATGACCATTCCATTCCAACTTTAGAAAAATACAAACTAAAAAAATATTAAAAAATAAAACCTAACAAATTACAAACCCACGCATCACCATCTCCTCCATCAAACAAACTGTCGGCATTATCACATCCTCTGTCAAACCCACCGCCGGCATCATCACCTCTATCAAACCCATAGCCGGCATCATCACATCTTCTGTCAAACCCACTGCCGGCATCATCACCTCTATCAAACCCACTGTCGGCATCATCACCTCCTCCATCAAACCCACCACCGGCGTCATTATCTCCTCCATCAAACCCACCACCGGCGTCATCATCTCCTCCATCAAACCCACTGCCTGATCTTGAACTTCAAAGTGATGGACCAAGACACAATAAAAAATCAAAAGTAGATCTGAAGCTTTTTTGTTTTTTGGTAAGTTAAAAAAAATAAATAAATAAAATAAAAAAAGAAGATCTGAAGCTTATTCGTGATACTTTCCAAATCTGTTTACATAAGCTTTTTCATTGATTTTGTGAAAGAATTGCTGAAACCATTCTTTCCAAATCAGATCCGTCCTCACCCGATCGCACTGAAGTTTCCAAATTGGATCACCATTCTTTCCAAATCGGATCACCATTCTTTCCATCACCTTTTCTCGCCCCAATCTCCAACACCTCACTTGCCCAGTTTCTACTTTCTCTCTACTTTCTCTCTCTATCTATTGCCCCAATTTCATTCTTACATACCTATTTCTATCCACTGGATTGGAAATAATTTCATGTTAATTTTTTAGTTAATTTTTTTTTATATTAATGATAAAGATAATTTAGAGAAAACAATATAAATGATGAAAAAGGTAAAACATTATAAATTTAATCAATTTTTATTTTTAGTCCAACCAAACAAATAAATGGAAATTATTATTTTACTTTTATACATTCCATTCTAGGTTTGTAATCAAACAAGAGAATAAGAATCATAATTCCCACTCTATTCCATTCCCACCTCTATTCCCATTCCATTCCAATTCATTCCACCACACCAAACTGGCCCTTAACGGTTAGTTGAATGGTACGGTTATCTACTTGGCATTTATAACACTTTTGATTGTGTAGGTATAGAAACGAAGAATGAAGACTGGGAGTTACTGAAAGTACAAAGAATTTTTCCCTAATTGTAGAGAGAGACTTTATACTTCCAATCATTTTCAACCTCTTTTCCCTCTCAATCCTCTCTATTTATAGATGGTTACAACCACTTAGACGGTTGTAACCACTCCTGGACTGGACCTAACTTCTTCTCCTTTGTTTGGGCTCAACTTCTTTCATCATAACATGGGCTCCCGCAATGACTTCTTGGATCTGGGCCCATTCAGTGTGGACTTGCTCCATCCCGGCTATCCATACCCGACCCGTTCTTAGCAATACGAATCATACCAAGCCTGGATCATTTTTGGTATCTTCATCTGCCCCCAATAATCTCTCCCTTCATTAATTAGGGTGAGATTATTGAAAAGACACAATCTTGGTCTGACGGCTCGGAGCAATGACATGAGGAATCGAACGGCTGGCACAAAGACCCAGACTTCGAGATCTGCTGCGCCATTTTTGCCTTGACCTTTTAAATTTTGTGTCACCTCCATTTCTTCTCTTTAAAAACCTTGATCCTCTCAACCTTTATCTTCCTTTAACATATCCTACTTTTATTCTCCGTTGTCGTCTTCCTGAGTTTCATTTGTCACCTTCCTGCACTTTCCAGCGATCTTTCTTTAGTTTCTCCGGCGAGTTTTTCTTTTGCGATTTTGGCTACTGTGCTGTTGCCGTGTTCTTCACAAACTCTCAAGGTCAGTTTTTTTACTACCCTTTTTGAAAAAGGAAACCTTTATTACCATAGATTCCTCCCCTTCTCCATGGCTCCTTCAAATCTAAACGCTATTCGTTTCAAGAATATCATTCCCAATGATGTCTCTCTCAGGATCTACCCAACAGAATTAGATGGGAGCTCTGGTGAGGGTCTCTTTCATAGGGAGGTTTTATTCTCCACCGTCCATTTAAACATCATTAGGTTCCACTTACACCCATTCTTTTGCTATGTTTTTAGCAAATTGGGGCTCTGCCCTCTGCAGGTTAACCCTAACTTCCTTAGGGTAATTTCAGTCATTCTGCTCTTGAACCGTGACAGGGGTCTCAACCTTGATATCATTGACCTTCTCCTTTGTTACCAAATTAACAAAATCAAACAAAGTGATCTGTACTATCACTTCTTTCCTATTGATAAACGGTTGATTTGCACAGATAAGAACTCGTTTGAGAAAGGTTGGAGACAAAACTTGATTGGGGTTAGTGGGAATTGGCGGACTCTGTTTGGTCAATCTTTCTCTATCCCTTCCTCCTTTGGAGTATGCTCTGTCTCTGGCTACAAAAAGCTGAAAACACATCCCACTGAATGCCATTGTGAAAGTTGCCTTCCCCGTTTTTGTACTTTTCTTTGTAGATGTCTTCAAATTCCTCATGACGAACTGGTTTATAGCGTTTACAGGGCCAAACTAGACGTCTTACAAGAGAGAGTGCTGAATAACGGCCCTTTAGCTACAGACTTGCTTACTCCTAACAATCTCTCTGACATCTCTTTCTTAGGGTTTAGAATGGAGAGTATTCAGATTCCATCTTTCAGCAAGAGGAGGCGTTCTGCTCCCATCCCTTCTGCTGCTCCTGTTACCATATCTTCCTCTACACCTGCTACCACATCATCCACCTCTGCTGTCTCTGCCCCAGAACAAGTTGTGATTTCTCCAGTTGTGACTCAAGTCACAGATCATTTTGCTGTTGGGCCTTCTGAGCTCACCCATGCTGAGAACCTTGCTGTGGATCATTCTGCTGAAGCCCATCCTGCTGCTTCCATCATTGTGTCTTCAAACATTTTGTCTGACACTTCTTCAGAGAACACTCAGGATGCTGGAGGTTCTCAGAATAGTGGAGGGCCAGTTAGTACTAGTCTGTCAGAGAAAAGTTTTGGAAAGAGGCCAATGCCTGAGGGCGGTCATGACCAGAGTGACGTCCCACCAGCCCGGAGGACCAGGACGGCTTCATTTAGGATTACCTTGCCCCCAGCTCGGTTTTTAATTCCAGAGGGTGAGTCTCCCAGAACCTCTGGTCCAATATCATCCGTTCTTACATGGCGACCTTTGCTCAGCCGTGAAGATGGCTCGACCATTGGCCCTACAAATTCTATGTACAAGGACCCCCTCACTTCCTTTGCTTTCTATAAGGGTTTCTGGATTCCCAAGGATCTTGAAATTCAGAACAAGTTGTCCTTTGGTGAGATGTTCCAGCGGTTCCCAACAGTTGCCATGGAGGTAACTTTTCTTCTTATTGAGATATGTCTCTTTTCTACTTTAACTTTTTAGTGGCTGGACTGACCAGAATCTCCCTACCTCTGTGCAGACTCTATTCAGGATGTTTACCTTTCAGAAGACCATTGAGGTTTTGAACAAGAAGCTCAAATCTCTCTTTGTAGGCCTTAAAAGATCTGTTGAAGCGGAAAGCCGCCTTGAGGTCAAAGTTGCTGAGCTTGAGTCTAAGCTGAGTGAGTTAGAAAAAAGGGTTGTCGCCTTAAAAACAGAGAAAGACGATCTGGCAAATGAAAGAGACGCCCTGAGAGCTGAACGGGATACCCTTAAGGTTGAACGGGACTCTCTTCAGGATGAAGTTGATGTTCTGAAGACTGAGAAGAGCGTTGCACTGACTGAAAGAGATTCACTTAAGGCTGAGAAGGGAGACCTTCAGCGTTTACTTATTCCTGACCTGTTGTCTCATGCCAACTCAAAGGAAAAGCTCTTAAGTGAACGTTCTTCTTTGCTGAATATGATTGGCAAAGTTGAAGGGGGTATGAGAGCTCTCCTTGCCCGCTTCACCAGAACTAGTGCCCTCTAGTACGCTGAAGGGTATAGAGACGGCTTTATTGACCGTCCTCCCTTTGAAGGTGAATCTAGTTCTTGTGCTGGTCCGGATGAGTTGGACGCCTCTTTGGATATCCACCCACCAAGCAACTACCAAAATCCACCCTGCGACCTTGCTGAGAATATCTTTATCGAGTGCAGAGAGGTTGCAGCCTCAGGAGTTGTTCCACCCTTCCATCCTCTGAACATCCTTCCAATTACTATTATCGTGCCCTCCACTTCAGTTGCCTCTGACAGACTCATGCTGGCTGAGGGGGTGATTCACCTTGACTCTCCTTCCAAGGATGATGGTGCAGCAGAGAATGGAGAAGACCACGATGGGCCAGAAGGTAATAATGGGGAGAACAACGAGTCACAGCCTGGAAAAGACCATGAGAACTAGCATTCTGCAATCGTTTGCATCAGTTTTTTTTTTTTTTTTTTTTTTTTTTTTTTTTTTTTTTAAGAATGTAGCTTCATGTATCCTTAAAACATCAAGCTATGTGCCTCAGGATTATTTTGGAATGAAAGAATAGGGAATGACAATACTTACTTTCAGCAAAACTTTCATTCTTCAAGTTTTCAATTTTCAACCTTTTAAACTTCATTTTTCATAAGTGTTTGGCATTCGGCTTGTAGTGCCTGCTGCTACTGACATTTGTTAAGTGTCTGGCGTTTGGCTTGAATGCCTCTTGCCACTCAGTATTGATTCATTTTTGAGCAAGTATTTGGCATTCTGCTTGTAATGCCAACTGCCACTAATTTTGTTAAGTGTCTGGCGTTGGCTT